AGCTTAGCGAAACTTCCTTACAAATTATTCACAGGCGAAAATCGAACACCGTAAACAAATAGTCATAAAATCACTAGTTTAACTCTTAATTGGTGGTTTTTATTTTGTTACCGCACACTTTAAAATTATGAACGGACCCTCATTCAATAGATAGAAAAAATCGTTAAGATTTCACAATCCGTTGTCGAACTTATTCCATTTTTATATTATGTTGTGAACAAAGAAACATTAAACAAATCCAACAAAAAATTGAGATGAGTAATATAATGAAAAAAAACTATGAATAAGCGGAACAAATTGCTTGAAAATCCAACATCAAGCTTGATCAGATATATCAACAAAGTAATCCAACATTTGTTTTCCTCGCCATATTTTGGGCATGTAGACCATCTTTCGTGATATATGAAAAAGGTGGTGTGTGTGTTTTGTTTTTCCAACGTAAATGGATATGTTTTAACGTATATTTTAAAGATAACTTAGGTGTAGTGTATATAATGAAATCAAGAGGAAACAAAATGAGCATACGATTAGTCGGTTACTTGGATTTCTAAAAGATAATGAAATATGTTAATGAGTGGATATGTCATTTTCGACCTATTTTAAAACGAAAATCAAATTATCAAATTGGACAGATGGTAATCGGGAATGCATCACCATCTCTTAAAATTCGTATAAAATAAAATTGTTCCATTAAAGGATTGAAGAACACGACGTGCCACATCATTCGTAGTGTCTCGACTCAAAATGTTAATCGAGACGTTTCACGAACCATGACATACCAACACACATATCAAACAAACCAATATATCGTTTTCAATTCTATATTTGGTCGTCTTTTTTTTGGTTCTTGTGATTATATCATACCGAAGCGTTAACTTATTATTCTTTGAATTATTATGTTTTCGGTGATAGCGAGACGACAACTTGTAGCCGACATTCTCGTGATATTACATACTTATCTGGTAATATAAGAATTAAGAGTAATTTTGATATGAAAAGTACTATAGTTCCGAATGAAACAAAAAAAGTGCTTAAGTGCTTGATTGCATTATTCGTTTGTTATAATCTTTTGTCTATTTCTACTTTATCACCGCCCGTCTTGAGTTTCGTAGACGTGATATTTGCCTTACTGTGGTCAAATCGGGAATATTCAACGATACTTATCACTCCTTTTTACTTGGTGGAAGTTGTGGGACACGATAGTCGATCAATGAATTGTTGCTATTAGTAAAATGAATTGTTTTTTCTAATCATAAATTCGACCGTCAGAAAAAAAGCTTTCATATTTTATATATGTGTGGATATCATCAGCTTAATATGGCTAATTCGTAGAGCCTAGGCAATTACCTTAATCGCTTAATCTATATTATCATTGTTCCAAAAACCGGACTAGACTGGTATTTGAGTTAAATCGTAAAAACCGACCAAAAACCAATAAATCGGTGAGCCACGCTGATATATACCAAAACCCGGTTCAAAGATTAATTCAGGATTACTAACAAAGGGCCCAACACCATTACCATGGGCTTATGAGTCCGGATCGGATCTGTAACCCGACCTGACTGTTGACCCGGAGAGAGAGAGAAAGAGTCCACGCCAACGATCGCCGAATCCCAACGAATCGAACATCGTTTCGTCGCTGTAAAAAACTTCAACACGAACAATTTTCCATCATCAGTTGTCAGATTTCTGGATTCGTGTTTTATGTTTGTGACAGATTTCTTCTGCATCTCGTGTTTCTCCGTTGATCGGAGAGTGACTGGGATCGAGAAAATAAGGGAAATTTTGGTGGAGATTTCGAGAGGAAAGCGATGATAACGAGATCGAATCTAGCAGAACAGCTAAGGGAATATCAGATTAGATCAAAGCATGATTGGGCTTCTGTTTCTTTCTTCTCTTCCACAGCCAATTTCTCTTCTTCAAGGTTAGATAACTATTTCTTCATGATTTGAGATCTGTGGCTTATGCTCT